GCGCCTGATGCCAAACTTTGTTTTTCCTCGCTCATTTTTTCTTGTACAAGGGATATCTGATGTGATGGTGCGCTTCGGGACATGCGATATTTGGCGTACTCACTGTGCATGCAGGTTCCCTGGGTCGCGTCGCTTGGCTGCCTTTTTGGTGGGGTGGAAGATGCGCTCTTCGGTTCGGGTCATCGTGATACAGTGCGGCATACGCGACACAAGAGGTTGCTCGCTTGCTTGTAATATCTTGGAAGCCTCCGGCGGCGGTCGGACCATTTGAGGCTGCGCAAAGCTGACTGGTGATCTTTTTCTCATCATATGGGTGTCTCGCCGCATTTTGAAACGCTGGGGATTGATGAAAAGCGGGAAGATACAAACTCTCTTGAGACGCGCAAGAAAAAAAAAAGCCAGTTGTCAGAGTTTCTGGCTAGGCCAGAATTGTGCGCTCTGGCCAGGCATCCGTCCGGAACTCCGAATAGTTACATCTCAAAGTACAGCAAGCTGTGACCCGAGCATTGAATAATCTCCCTGGTCATATCTGAGGTCAGCTCTCACAGCAAAACGTCCTTCCACTACTAGGCTGCCGTCCGTAACTCCGAACAGCCTTGAGTAAGGGGGTACGGCGAGATCCCTACGAGATCCCCAAGAGCGGCGGTCACACCACGACATTCTGAAGCAGAAAACTCTAATAGCTTATTGCTGGCCCAACACAGCAACGATGTCCAGGCTTCCGCCCGAAACTCCGAGCGACCACGCCTTGTGAATGAATGGATGGTTCACCTCCCGCCTCTTGATGCCGACTTTGTACCCTTCGAAAGTGCATGCCCAAGCTGACACTGTGCTGCGGCTCAAAAAAAAATAGGGTAGGCTGGCTGGGCACACCTGCCTGGAGACTGGGATCAGGTTAGATCATCACCCACACCAACAACTCCAGTGTCACTGCCGAACCAGCCTTCCTCTTCGGTATCGGCGGGAAGGTCGCGTGCTCTTAGTCCCGTCGATCCTCTAACCGTCGAAATCATCTTCAACATGCATTTCATAGCCTCAATATCCATGTCCCCGATTCCCTATCGACGTGTATCTGACGAACAGCATCACCCGGTGTTCCCGTTGATTCCGAGACCATCGGGAACAACTCAAGGTCTTCAGTCCAAGCAACAGGGACCGATCCATCCTCCGTTCCTAAAACGATGCTCCTGACAAACGCCAAAGCTTCCTCGTCTTCGCCCCGCAGCCTGTCGACCCCATGCATCCCTGTGAGGCACACCGGATCTGCCGGTAAGGATTAACTGACACCCCAACCTCCAATGGCCGTCTGGAGACCGTGCTTTGCGTTGGCAAGGTCACACACAGTATCTATCGCGAGAGCCAAGGTACAAAGGTCAAGGTAAAAAGGCCAAGAAGTTCAGCGGCCAGTTCGGGAGCCTGCTAGGCAGGACAGCTAAATAGGAGCCCTAGACGCCTAAACGTCTGAGCAAAAATCAAGATCGAACACTCGTCTCTCCTCTCTCTCTCTCTCCTCTGCTGCTGCTCTCCGCTGGATCTGCATCTATCTTTTGTCCACGTACACACGTCTCGAATTGCAAGTCTTTCCTCAAGCTTCTTGTGCGCTTCTGTCTTCTCGTGGCCTTCGACAGCGTGACATCGATTCAAACCCTAGTAGCAGCACATCATCGACAAAAGCTTGATCATTTCGATTCCGGCACACTCAAACTGACCGCACCAGCACCCTTCCACCCTTCCACCCTACGATACCAACATGGGCATCGGTGCAGCTGCCGAACCCTTGGTGGTCGTCACTCTTCTCTTTGGAGGAGCGTGGATCAACCGTAGCATTGGCCGCGACGACACATACGATATCCAAGGGTGGACGGACGAGACAGTTGGACAGAGCGAGATCAAAAAGTCGGACGACCATGGCAGCCCCCGCCAATCTGGTAGCATGACACCAAAGTCCGAAGACTCGCTACTCTCCAGTTCCCCCACTCTGGGCCTGCCAGAAGAGCCCTTGCGCCGCGTCAGGAAGATCAAGTTTCTGAAGTACGAGCGCCGCATCACTACTCCTAACACCAGGATACACAAGAATCGCCTCCTCAGCCGGCTGCTACGAAAGTTTCCCTTCCTTGTGGAGGCCTGGTACTGGGCGCTCATCTACTGGGTAAGTTCTAGCCAGAAGTCGACGGCGGCTCTCGAAGAAGCTGATCAGTGACCTTCAGGTGTACCAAGTCGGCCGCGCCATTACTGCGCTCACTCTTGTGGAAGGCACTGTTCACGTCGCCCGTAGACACGCCCTACAGGTTATTCATGTCGAGCAAAGCCTGCACATCTTCATCGAGATTCCTATCCAGCAGTTCTTCCTCCAGTACCCTACCCTGATGCATTGGATCAACCGTATATACTCCTTTATCCATATTCCGGGCACCATCCTTTTCCTCGTTGTGCTGTTCTACCTCACCACCACTCGCCGTCGCCGCGCCATCTCTTCCAAGAGAAACGGCAATGACGCCCCCGTTTTGAGCTCCGCCGGCCCTGCTCTGTACGAGGCCCGCCGCCGCACCATGGCTACCTGCAACCTGCTCGCCTTTGTCGTCTTTACCCTCTGGCCTTGCATGCCGCCTCGTCTACTCAGCGACCCTGCGTACGATGGTCCAGATGCTGAGGAGTCCAAGAGCTTCGGTTTCGTCGACACAGTTCACAGCAGCACAGGCGAGAGCAGCGTCTGGACTACCAACAAATTCTGTAATCAATATGGTGCGTCACCTCTGGTAACCCCCCATCATGAAAATTCAAAAGCCCCTTCCCTCTCACCTGTAGCATGAGTAGAATGAGAAGAGCTTACATTTAAAAAACCAGCCGCTATGCCATCCCTCCACTTTGGCTACTCACTCCTCATCGGACTTACGATTGCCACACTTCCAATAGCCAACCTACGCACGCGCTCATGGAAGCGTATCGCCATCATGGCACTTGGCATGTCGTACCCTGCGCTCATCCTGACAGCGATTGTCGCCACTGCAAATCACTTCGTGCTCGATGCTGTGGCCGGTGCGATCGTCTGCGGCATTGCATGGCACGCGAACGGCATCTTGTTGAATCTTTTGCCGCTCGAAGACTACTTCCTCTCAGCGCTACGGATGCACAAACCCATCAACTGGACGGATCCCGAAGTGTCAGTCAACGTCGGGGGTTGGAAACCTAGCTCTATCATTGAACAGGTGTAAACTGTTTTTGCTACGAAATCTCGAAGACAGACCCTGCCAGCGTCCACAGAAATTTCTCAGGCGTTGCTGATTTTCGCTTTTTACTTTCTCCTCTCGGTTCTCGTCTCGCACTCCCTCGATTCTGCAACAAGAAACTTAGCGATAATACCCCAATTTCATTATAAGGAGGAAGTTATTGTTTAATGGGGCTGATACAACTTGTTGCTTGGAGTTTCGTTCCCGAATTCAATTCTTTTCGCAGGTTCGCAGACATCACACATTCTTCGAAACCTCTGTCCACAGGACCAAAGCCCGTGATAACATTGGGGAATCCTTCTGCTGCACAACCAATTCTGATTTAAGCCGCTTCAAGACTGTCGCTGATTTCATGCAGGTGTATCTAGCCGCGTCCCCGTTGCGTACTCCGGCGGACCGGCCGGAGAGAGTCGGCGTCGGCAAGCTCGGCGCATGATCTGGCGAGTACCAGATGTCCATGACATCAGACTGCTCGCAGCCGCGCGAAGGAGGCGGGTGCAGCTCATTATGGAGCAGAGGAACAGAGGGTTATCTTGCTGCACTTACGACGCCCGTCTCGCAGCCTGCATGGTGACTCCAGCTCATGACGAGAGAAAGGTGACATGAAAGTGGCAAAGTCTTTAAAGGACAGGTTGCTATGGGCGGTCACGCCGCGTGCCGCACAGCCGAAGAATCAAACATTGCGATGTGGTCTGTTGGCTCGGTCCGCTTCAAGATCATGTATTGTAGATCAAATTGCGACGAATCGGTTGAAGGGCACCGTCGCAAGAGTAACAAGGGGGACACGGTTTGGTCCGACGGCCGAGGACGGAGAAATTGGCCGCGCAAAATCCCCCAAAAGACAGAAAACGAGCCGAAATAACCCTCATCGACAAGAAGAAATGGCCCCTGTCACCTTCCCCATACCATACCCCAGATCTTGTCACGCTCCAGTCCCCCGCACCGCCAGTTTCGACATCGCGGGTGTCGATCTGCTCGGTTCCCATTAGCCCGTGGAGCGACATGATCCCAAAATGGAAGTTTGCTCCCCGTCGGCCATATTGCCCCCCGCACTTGATGAACATTATAATTTGAGAATCTGCCTGTGGGATAGCATGATGGGTCTTAATTCTCATTCGGACAAGCTAGCACAGCCTTTTCTGATCTGAAGGCGGCTTCCAATCGAGCCTACAGTACCAATCAAGATGCGTCTCGCCGGGTTGAAATCGGCCGCTCTCTTCGTCGGAGCTGCCACAGCACTGAAAGCAGCCGAGAATGCGACTCACTACACGCTGCAAAACGAGAGGCTGTACGTGGCCGTCGGCAAAAGTAACGGCCAGGTTGTCGACTTGAGCCTGGACAATGTCGACCTTCTGGGACCTGTCAGCGGCAACTCCGGCAAAGGTCCGTATCTCGACTGTTCCTGCATCCCCACAGGTTTCTGGACGCCCGGCGGCACCGCCAAGTACCAGCTCGTCGAAGGTGTCGACTCGACGGGCACCCCCTATGGCGGCATCAT